CCAGCCATCAGATTAGGAAGAAGCTACTACTGCCAAATCTTCTGTCAGGTGCTCCATGGCTAGCCTAAAATTCTATCTTTGTGTCCACATCTCCAGCAGGGCAGTTAAGGCAGCTCCTGGAGTTTTTACCTGGTGCTGCTCAGGCAAGACCCGAGGGATACTTGTCAAAGAGAGAACAGAGAATGAGGTGAGAACACCCAGTAAGTACGCTGGAAATGTCCTGTCACATCAGTCAGAGAGGAAGCCAACAGGCTTAACCAGGTCACCACAATTACCCAAATACTACTTTTCACACGCATAACTTGAATTTGCTACTGTTACTTCTAGTCTAACACTGCTACAGACTGTGAAGGAATACTGGCATAGAAATCATGTTCCATGGCCACCTAGGTTAGAATTCTCAGTGTTTGAGAGCTGTGTCAATGCTGCCCTTTCACAAGTAGTATTTCAATTCATAAAGAGAATGGCTCGAAGTCCTTAACCACCATTATTGCTAGATCAGTAACACAACACAGTATATTATAATATGCTCATTGATAGGTTGCCCAGAGGTGTTCTGGAGTCTCCCAGTTTGTCGGTCTTCATAACGTGCCTGGACATAGTCCAGGGCAAGCAACTCTGGGTGTCCCTACTTGAGCAGGGGGTGAAACAGATGATTCCAGAGGCCCCTTTCAATCTCAACCATTCTGTGATTTCGTGAACTATTGTCCATATTTTCCAGCAGAATATATAGACCAATTTATTTCAAGCAAAAAAATCACATGTTAATAGAGGGAAGACCATTGGGTAAAGACAAGGGAGAGAAAAGGCAAAATTTGGCATTATATTTAAAACCATGAGTGTGTTTGCAGCTTAGAAAAGTCAAGAGATAATGCTTAAATTGACAATACCAGACAGTTCTCAATCTTAAAATGTTGAAAGCCAGCTTGCATACAATATTTTTCCATATACCAGACAAATAACACCCTAGATTCTGATTCAGGGGGGAAAAAATATTGGCTTAATGTTTTTAAGGTATTAAATTGTAATGTTGCATTTCTTAAATAGATACTTGAGTAAAACCAGACTGAAGGATTGTCTAGGGATCCAGGTTTATGCTGATTAATACCTGCTCACACTTTTTCTCTCTGCTGTTGTCGTATTCATCAAACATAATATTTAAATTGAATTTCCTGATCTGAATGTATTTTACCACTTACACTGGAGGAACAGTATTGTCTAAAAGCCATTTATTGTATTTAATTCTGTGTGACTGAAAATGCTTTTAGGAATTACAAGAAATGCACTGCTGGTTGAAATGGAAATATTTTTGCTTCCTCTGTAAACTTACTCATAATGAACTCAATAAAGACTATATTAAACAGTAAAAAATGAGATTAGTAGTTGATGGATGGATACCAAACCCTGAATTTCTCACTGAGCTAATGCCAAAAAAAAAAAAAAAAAAGCGAATGCAGATTCTCTGTCTACATTCCCATGAGATGCCAATGGTGCTGAAGCTCAGCAGAGGCTGCCTTTAAGTGCTTCTACCTCTGCCAAACTAATGTACTATGGGAAAGCAGAGGTTGCATAGCTTCATAAAAGCTGGCACCTGAAAAAGATGTTCTGCATTCTCCAGTAGCTCAGCCAATTTCTCTGAAAAAAAATCAGGTATGTGTTAGTAGACTGTGCAACCTCTGTAGTAGGGAACAATGGCTAACAAAACAGGAATCAGAATCTCAGGGGCTGCAACAACCTACATGTCTGCCTTTATGCTCGCTACATATTACACAGAAGATATTTGTTCACAATGTCAGGAGTTCTATTATGAAACTCATTAATTTAAACTAGAAGAAAACACTAACACTTTATCATTCCTTTTTTTTTTTTTTTTTTTTTTTCCCACAAAAATTATTTTAGGCCAGCAAAACTTCTCCTTCTGTTTTACATTGCTGCATAATTTAGCATTTCAAAAATGTAACAGAATGAAGTTCTGTTAAATTCAAGCTTCACTATTGACTATTCAGGCTTCACTGAATTTAACAGAAGAGTTAAGTCTCCTTGGCCTGCAGGATCTAAAACTAAGCATGCTGTTGACTCTTCAGGCCTCTAAAATGAGTCTGAAAAAAAAAAAAAAAAAAAAAAAAGTGTTCTTTTTTGGGGGGGAGTTATTGCTTTGTTTTTATTATTGTGTTAAGGAATCGGTATGAATTGAGATAGAAGATTTAGACTACTTAGGCAATTCACATAGTATGCTTTATGTTACATTATCTTAGATATGTATATATATATATATTTTCCTTTTCTTTTCTATGCAGTTTAATCATACAAATTTTTAACATGAGATAGTGGCCTGGGGCAGTTGTAAGATGATTCATGTGTGTAAATTTATGATTTACATAATTAGAGGACAAATTAGTTTGTTCAAAAATAATTCTTAGATGTTTAGTGTGAAGTTACCATTGGAAACCACACAGCTTTAGAAAACAGGATGCCTGTGTATTTTCCAGAGTAGGGAACCAGTTGTTAGACAATAGGTGGTTCAGGAAATTATAAGAAATTAAATATCATTATGAATATCTTCTCTTACAATTTTTACAGCACGTATTTTTTCTCCACAAAGTTATTTTCTCTCAGCAAGCTGTTACACACATGCTAAAATTTACATATTGGCTGAGTCCAGGAGAGCTACTGAGAAGTCACCCACACAAGGAAAAGGATCTGCATCTTGGTAATGTATTCATATATGGTGGGTGGCTTAGAAAAACAGTGTAACAGACTGGAAAACATATTCTAGAAAATAATAATAATAATAATAAAATCATAGTTTCAAACCCTATCCTGAAATCATAGTTTCAAATATTGCATTCTCATTTAATAAAAATATACATATTTATACCTATTATGCACCGTTTTATTTTTACCTCATGTATCTCCAAGGATGTCAGCAAATACAGTTCTATCTTTGTAAGAGACGTTTTCTTACAGTGAGGTTACATCAGTCATTTAGTTCTGATGCTAACTATATACTGAACTAGATTGTGTCCCTCCCTAATCTAATGTATATGATCAGGAAATCATATAGGAATCTAAAGGAAAGGAAGGGTAAATGTTATTAACTCTTCTAACTGTATCAGAAAATACAAGAACCCAAGAGATTTCTACTTTCCAGGACGGTGTGAGCTCTTTACAAAGTTTTATCTGCTGTTGGAGCACAAGCAAATGGGAGGTAATCAGGGCTAGGGAGGTAATCAGGGCTATTTGTCCCTGGCAAGCCATGTGGGTAATGCTGGTGAGAGGTAATACTGGCCTTTTCAACATTAAGGTGCTCATGAACGTGTTGCTTTGTGTTGTCAAATACAGCCCTTCATATTTAAAGACCAGTGCTTGGCACACTGAGAGGTAAATTAAAGTGTGTAACAGCAGCACCAATGGAGTCAGTTCCATGCTCTGCATGCTGTGAAAATTAAATATTCACTTTTTAAATACCTTTTGTATACTTTTTTTTTTGACTGTTCATGAAAATGGAGAACACCTTGCCCACAATCTGTGTTATAGCTCAGTCTTAGAGTTTTTATAACTTTGCTGTTTCATGTGAATATTTACTTGAGTGTGAAACAATAATTTATCTCAGAATAAAATTAAGTCTGCATTAACAAGGGACAGCAACTTTTACACAAAGATTCTTAAAGTACAGATGAAAGCACTTCAATTTTTTTGTTCTGAAAGAAACATTTTAGAATTATATGAAGTTCCACAATACAAAAATTATAGTTATTCTTCAAAGTCCATCAGACAATAAGAAACTAAACATTAATAACAATTTTTTTTTTTCTTCAGTTAATCTCTAAGTATTTCTCAAAGATATTCAGTATGATTATCCCACTTTCTAGCCCAAGACACAAAAATGAAATGAGTTGCTCATGGTGTCCCAATAGGAAAATATATGTGTCAGTGCAGGAAACATGTGGCTGGCATTCCACAGACTCCTGCTTCATATACTAAGGAAATCAAGGAACTTCTTTAAATCTTCTTGTAGTGTTATTTTCCACTCTTTTCCCAGGGTGCTTTTATATAGCAAAAGCCCCGTGTTGCTAATGAATATTATATTTTAGCTTTAGATATTTCACAGATTCTTGAAAGGGTCATTAACAATAATGAAAGGCTCTATAACAATAATAAAATAGACATAAATATGATTCACATAATACATGATATGATCCACACTAACAATACCCACTAAATGGTAATACATATTAATGCTAAATATATCTTGATAGAGCATTTTTGAATGGAAATAGTCTCCACAGAGTCTGGATTCCACAGAATCCACAGATCAGGTCACTGAATCTGATTACCTCAAATGAATTTCAATATGAAATATCTTACCAGTACACACTGTATACATATCAGTTAATGCACCATTTCCAGGTCTGGGTGAAGGAAAACAGTCATAATAGAGGATTATCAAAATATTCATTGAGGAATAATTAAGGAAAATCTGATCATGAGACACCCCAAAAATTACTGCTCATTTTACATTCTGGAAGATTAAGAGTGTATTCCAGAGGTTGCAACATGTTTAGTGTTTGCCATTTCTTTTGTCAGAAGATGAAACAAATCATGTCTACTATTTAAGGACATCTATTAAACAGTTGAGAATGTCTTCCTGATCTGAAACACACTGAAGTCAATAGATACCTTTTCACTGACTTCAGTAATGGACTTTGTCAAACAATCAGTTCTGTCCTGGAGGTTTCTGCTGTCTTCATTTGTCAAAAATCATGATAAAACTGATTTTTTTGCTAATAAATATCTGATTTTTTGTTTAGACTGATTTATTGTCTAATAAATATTTGGAAACAACCTTTCACATTGCAAGAAATACTGACAAAATTTATTCATTACCTTTTGTTTCAAACTTAAGGCTTGCATTCTCTAGATGTATTTCTTAAGGCAAATAACAGTGAAACTCAGCATCTACTTTAATGATATTCTAGAAAAAGAAACAGAAAGCTTACCCCAAAACTTTGGTGGCCATGTGGTCAGAGAGTAAGTGCTGTTTTTATCCATAACATCCAAATGATAGATACAAAACTATATCTCCACAGTGTAGCAATAAGTTTCTGAATGTTTGAGATTTAGGGGTAGAAGCAATGCTTTTGTGCTGCCAGGGAACTGTTTTGTTTGTCTGAAAGGAAATAGATGTATCACATTTCCTGCTTGTGGACTCAAATTAGCAATCGCTTGCCTTATCTTAGAGCCCCACATAGTTCCTGAGACAGAGGAATAGTTTCCTTCTCGTCATTTCCTCAGCCTGAGTGAATTGACTTAGAACAATACCAAATCTGCTCCTGCCCCAAAACAGTTTGAGCCCCAGAACTGTTGGAGATAGAGAGATGCAAATTCGTTTTTCTACCCTTTACTGAATTTTTTGTCTTAAAGACGTTCTTTAAAAAAAATCAGTATTTATATTCAGTGGTAATTTTCTATAAGGAATAAATGTTTGAAATATGTTTGTAATAAATGCCGTTTCACTAGTATACTGATACAGGGTATGAACATTTTAAAGTATTTGCCATTGTTCTTCAGCTCGTCTGAGGAACTAGCTAGGCCTGACAGTGTAGCTGTAGGTATTGCTATTTTAATGAGTGTTCTTCAAATTTCCTCTGCTAATTCTTTTCCTTTCCACACCCCATTCTAAATTATGAGCTCTCTGTAACACAAACAGGCTTTGAGCTAACTGTTTGAATAGTTTTAATACAATGTACTGGTAAATCTCAGATGGAATTTGTAGGCAATACTGCTAAATATAACATATAGCAATAGTAACACTCAATAATAATAATAATAATAATAATAATAATAATAATAATAATAATAATAATAATAATAATAATAATAAATAAAGCACACAATATATTTGAGGACACAGACACATAAGTAATATAAAATGTATGGGAATCAATAAAATGTATGGCTTTGTACATATGTGAAAAATTCTGTAGAACCTGATTTTAACTCTCTCTCTCTTTTTGCTGACAATAGACACAAGAGGTATCATTATAATTATTAATTATTATAATATTAATAGATATAATAATAATAGATATAATAATAATAGATGCAAGTCTTTAGATATATTTAAGGCAAATAAAAAACTTTTTTGTGGTGAATTTCAATACTTAGCAAAAATACACGGATGATTAATGGAAGACTAACAGTTTTCAAAGTTTGTGCTTAAAATGACATACCCAAATATTGATTTAATCTAGTTGAAAAGCAGCTGAAAAGACATAGACACTTATGCAAATAATTAAATATTCCATATTATCAAATGTATGAAACATCAACCTTAGTACTTCGTGAGAAAGTCAACAGCGAGAAGGATGGCAGTTTTACTCTGGAAAGGGTATTCCAAATAGAAATTCTCTCTTTTTCCTCAGAAACATACAGCTGATATTGGCAGTTGTTAGCAACAGTAGATCAGAGAAGAACCACTGAAAGTTATTTGGAGCATACCCCTGCAATGCTTATCAAGTTGCACCAGATAAAATTTTAAATGAATCAAGATAATGTGGGATTACAATGATTTGCTAATCAGGAGGGTCTCTCAGATCAGTTTCACAATCTTTCCAATGTGTATTCTTGCCTGAAAAGAAGAACTAAGTTTGTGCAACAGAATTTGCCAAAAACAGATAGAGTGTATGAAATCAGATGTTTTAATTAAAATGATACATATTTTTTTTCCAAAAAGCTAAAGCAGATTGATGTATAGTAAATAAATCTTGCCTTAATTTATTATTTCAAATATTATATTAATCCTTATATTTTATGCTTGAGAGTACTGCAAGAATCTATTCACATTATCCCTATTAGTTCTTTCATTTTTCACCCTTGAGAAGTATCTTTTTCTGAAAAAAATAATTGCTGCAACCCAAGATATCTTTATGGGTAAAAATGCTCCTCACTATGCATTATAATGACAAGTATAACACACTGTCACCTCTAACTGGTGAGAGACAGAGGTATGTAGAGGACAAGCTGTCAAATGCATTACTGATGTGAGTTCAAATGAGCAGTCTTTTTTACTGCTTGAAAAAAAGGAGCTGAATTCTGTTTTTAAACTTTTTGAATTTATTGATTAAGTGAGGGGAGATGCTCTGAATTTACATCAACACAAATTTTAATCAGTGAAGAAAGAGAAGAACTTCCAGGGGATATAAATGTGATATGTCTCTTCATGTGTTAAATAAATTATAATTGTAATAATAATAATAATTAAGAATAAGAATAAGAATAAGAATAATATACTAATGCTATTATATATTATTATAATATATTAATAATATTATCGTTGTTATATTATAATATAATAACAATAACAATAATATATTATTATCATTATTAATATATTATTATCATATTATAACAATGATTGATAATGATAATGATAATGATAATGATAATGATAATGATAATGATAAAATCATAGGTAAACCAACTGTAGGTACACAATGTAATTCTGGCAGGTAAAGAATCACTTTCTGGCTTGCAAGAAGTGTGAGGAAACACAGAGGAAAGAAAGTTCTAAAGGGGTTTCTGAAGCCTTGAGGGGTCTCTTCCTGCCTCAGGGCTCTGTAGTCCCTTCCTGCAGGTCCAGAGGGGCAAAGATTTCTGAGATGCATTAATGCTTTCCCCACTGGTATATTGTGACTCCTCTCTTTTTCTTTGCCTGTGTGTATAGATATTAATTTAGTTGAAACCTTTTTATTTTTTATTTTTATTTTTCCTAAGGCTGTCCAGGGCTCATGGTGATGATGTTTGAATATGATCTGAAACAAACAGAACCCAGATCTTATCTAGAGTCAATCATTGCCAGACAAGAGTCATACCACTGTCATTGGCAGCAGAAAATGATCACTCTGTCAGAATTTTGAAGCAACTTGCTGTGAACAACTTTTCAGTTTTTTAGTTGATTTACTGTTACTGGCATTTCTCAAGAAAACAAGATACACATGTTGAATTCTCCTGAGTGAACCCACAAAATATTTTTATTTCAAACACAAACAGAGTTCACCAAAAACAGACAATGAAAAAGTGGAATGAGTGAAGTGAAACTTCTTTTTTTGACACTTTCCATCTGGAGATTATGATTTAGGCTGGGATTTCCTTTAATTGTTTCATATTTCAGCAGCCTCATATTTGTCCTTGGTTAGTTTTACAGCTCTCCGGATGCATGAATTAAAACTCAGGAATTTTTGTTCTTTGACCACTGATGAAAAATATTCCTGTCCCCCATCAAACTACCCCTTTTAAGGGCTGCTCATAATGTGACGACAGACAGAAACTACTGCCTGAATTTAGTCTTTAATGACTGACTTTCGTCTTCATCAAAATTGAACAGTGGAAACCTTCAGTTTTCCTGATACAGATCACAGTCTCCAGTGAAAGGGTTAAACAGCTTACTTCCAACTGCTCACTGTATCAGAATACACCTTTTCATATGATGTACCTGCTATAATATGGCTTCTGTAGTGTCAATATTTGGAGGAGGCAAAGATGAGCTTTTGGGGGCTAGTCAGGCAGTGTTCTTCTGGCACTGTTGTATCTAACAGAGTAATGCTTTGTGTACATGTGTAGCCCATATGGAGCTAGCAGCTTGGACTCCAACTTAAAAACTCCAGACTTAAACTTTTATTTTGTCAGAAGACAAAATTGTGAATAATCAGTTCAGAACAGAAAACAATGTACTGTCATTCTCTGAGGTTTCCTCACTCACAAGGAATAAACTCACAAGGAGTAAACAAGCTTCAGCCCTAAAGCTGAAGCTTGATAAATTACAAACAGGATTACATGAAGTGACTGCTTATTAGGGTAGAGACCTGCACCTAGAGTAATCCTTCATCGTTCTCTGTTCTCCTACAAAAGCATCCTGTGAACTACTTCCCATTCAGCAGATGAAGATGAAACTCCCCCATATGCTTTCCAAAATGTGAAAACTTTCATCCAATGGCCAAATTTTCCATTTGTACACAAATTTACAATCTAAGTAAGAGACTTGGCATTATGTCTTCAGAGTACAACTTCTCCTTGTGTTACAGGTAAAAGGGACAGGGGGCAATACTAATAAATAAATAAATAAAAAGGGGGCAATACTAATAAATAAATAAATAGTCCTGCATCTGCCCAGTTGTGCATCCCTGAATCTCCTGAGACATGAAGTACTGAAGCATGACATTTAGTAGACTCAATATCTTAATTCAGATTAACATCTTATTCTTTCTAGTATTCATTAAGAAAGGGACCAAGTAAGGGGACAGAAAGAATCAATATCAGCGTTCAATATAATCACAAAATTATATTGTTTTAACATTTTCATAGTAAATGATAGAGCTCCACAACTGAGCTGTAAATTTTGCATCACATATCAGAATTGGATAAAAAGTCATCCATTGACATTATATTCTCTCCTGCCTGCTGTTAAAAAGATGGAATGAAACTGCGTCTGTTCTTCTCACTCCCTAAGGAGGTCTGAAATTTTAAATTGCATTGACAAATAATATTTACAGATATATTTGTATCTGTTCACACTGAGAACATTTATTGTCTTTCAGAGACAACAGTTTGTTGATGTGAGCAGCAGGTGTCTGACTTACTTTTAAAGTGCATGAACTATTTACGAGCAGAATTGTATTTGTCCCAAGTTGCCAACATAACATTTAATGGACTTGACACAACATGTGACATTGTTTTAGAACAGGCAAAAACATTCCAGTGTGTTACCTTGTGCACGTGGACTTTTACATCAATGTACCTTTGTGGACACCAGTACCTCTGCAGAGTGTTGCTGTTCTTAGATGGACAAAGACTATTATTTGTAAATAATCTTTTATTGAGTTGTAAACTATGACTTACCATTGAAATTGTCTTCATCTATCACACTGTTAACAATACTGAGATACAGAGCATGCTGGATTCAAAGTACTTTTCTGAGGCCCAGTTTTATTTTTATTTTAACAGAAGTAGGACCCTACTGTCATTTCATTACATAAGTAAGATAAAAGCCTAATCGAAACACGTGGAAGCTAGTGAAAACATCCACATATATACTGAGATAGGTGCAGCTTGGGTAGATAAACATTTAGAAAGTAT